CCACCAACATTACCAACATCAACTTCCAAATTCAATGGTTACATAGATTTGGTAGTCTCATCATAGGTAATACCCAAGTTTGAGGTAACGTGGACAATTGGATTGCCAAAAATTTGATAAAATCTTGGGTGTGCCAAATTTAGGTATAATCTTCCTTTACAAATTTCAAAACCTCAGAGCTATTTTTGGGAGAAAACAATGACGCTATTCTTACAACTTGTTTCCAATCTCACTTTGGCCCACCTGATCCACACGTGTAGTTCTCCTTAACCTCGCTCAACCTACATGGATTGAGTGGTCTTAGGCCTCACCAAACTGAGTGGGTCCATCTTTATACCCTCACTTATCCACATGAGTTAGTTGGCTTGATCGACCAACATGGCTCGGTTTCCATGGCCTCGCGCAACTAACATGAGTCGACTTGTATTCGACTCAAGAGGCCCATGGGAGCAAGCATTTTTAACCTTGGTTGATCCACACGAGTCGTTTGTCATTAACTTGATTGATGCATGTGTTGCCTGTATATGGTCTAACTACCCACATAGGTCGACCTATCCAGTCTCTCTTAGCCTTCTTCGATTTGTTGGATCAACCTCTAATTCTAGATTGAGGCCTAGTCGATGGTTCCACCAACAATACGTACCTATATGATCTTTTCCCCTAATAATGAGTTGATTTATCCTTCTTGATTTAATTAAGTGCATGAATATTATATTGGGTGTGCAAGCAGTAAAGATTGGTTGGTGGGCGCTATTAAAAAAAGTGGGTTTAGAGAAATTTCACAAGTTATAACCATAGCTACCACAATTCTATTTTTACCAATTATTATTTCATGGCTAGAGCTGAGTTTGTGAAGTGTTCTTATAAATTCGAAGTATATTTTCAATTAAAAAAAATCATATAATGTTTAGTTATTACCCTCCATCCTCTGTATGTTCAAGAATTATCTAAAAATCTAAAATTGAAAATTATTATAATTAGAAAATTTAAAATGGTCGTATATAGTATCTTTGTCGTTCTGAAGGAGCAGCGAAGAAAACACTGTGAAATATAGCTAAAAGACAACCAAATATATTATAATTTCAAAAAATAATTAATAAATATAGAAATTGCACCAGAAAATAGAACAATAATTTTAACTTTTTTTTTCTACCTTCTAGTTATACCCAAACAATGTCGAGTATCTAACTTATATTGATCTTTAAAATTTCTTTTATAAACATTAATATTTGATTAAATTATAAATAGTTCATCCTTTTAAAAATACTCTTATTGTTTTAAAAGTTAAATGTTTCAACATTATTTATTAAATAGAAAATTTTAAAATGTGGGGTGAAAAGGTTTTTTTTTTTTTATTATCAATACATTTATCTAAATTAATTTAAAAAAAATATAATATTGAGACCTGTTCATTTTTATCCAATATTTTAATGATTTTTTTTAATCCAAAAGAGGTTTTAAAATGTCAAAGGTCAAATGTACTATCTAAAAAGATTTGACAAAATTTAGGTTCTTTTTTTTTTAAAAAAAAAAAAAAAAAAATTAGCCTTCAAAGTTTTATTTAAATTGTTATCACTAGTTAACACAATTAAAAAAAATTAGTAAATTTGTATCTTAGGATTGATAATAAGAGAACAAAAGTCATGTCGTGTTTGAGACAAATTCTAATCTAATTTTTGTATTCATCCTTTTTTTTCTTTCTAGATTTGTTTCTTACGTCCCTCTTTAGCTTAAGACTAGTAATTGGAGGGTTGGGTGACATAGTTTTTTTTTTTTTTTTTTTCTGGTTAAATTTCCATTCAAACAATTTTTAAGAGTAACAAGATCACGTGTGTATGTATGTATATATATATATATATTAAGGCTTAATTAACAAATGGGAAGCGTGTGAAGCACAAACATAATTTAATTAAATTGGTATTGACTATTTGTGGGGTGATGGAGCAAGATGTCAAATCATTAGTCAACAAATTTAGGGTTTTGCGTTTTTGAAATGAGTTTTATTGTTTAGTTGAGGAAGAAAGAAGATAATAATGGCGAAATTTCCCAACCAAACAAACAATATATCTCTGCGTGTGGTACACTCCCCGAGACCGAACCCAAACTTCTTCCATTTACAAATAGATTCTCTTCCAATTTGTTTCCATACCCCATTCCTATTACAACTCATTAATCTTACTCTTTAACTTAAATTTAATAATTATAGGGGTCCAAGAAAATGATGGAGGTATTTTAGGATTAAATTTTCTAGTTCCTATTATAAGTACTCCTCCACTTAATAAGGTTATTCATTCAAAGAAATCCCAAGTAGGCTCAAGTGGAACAAATGTAGTAGTATTCTATGGAGTGTTTTGTAACATATTCTCAATTAGTGTTAATAAAAAGTGTAAGTGTTTCCCACCAAAAGTTGTGTTCAACAATCTGGTATCAAAGCAAGGTTGGTGTAGGTTGTCTTGTCTTTTGAAATTCGTAGTATTCTCTATGGTTGCAGCTCTTTCTGATCTTCTACATCAAAGACAATTTCTTAAGATTATTAGTGTGCGAGTTTTTTTTCCTATGTGAGTAGTTTGTGACTTTGCAAGTTTTGTGCTAGAAAAAGCTTGTTTGGTATTAATGAGGTATAACCAAGATGGGTGAATTCAAAATTGTTGGAGGAATAAAAAAACTTAACAACAATAACTATAACACGTGGCAACATGCATGATGTCTTATTTACAAGGACAGGACCTTTGAGAGGTCGTTGGCTGGAGTGAAACTACACCGTCAAAAGATGATTTTAATGGCGCCTTGAGCAAATGGAGAATCAAAGCAGGCAAAACAATATTTTCCTTGGAAACCACAATCGGAGAAGAGATGTTAGTGCACATTTGGGATGACAAGACACCGAAAGAAGCCTAAGACACATTCGTGATGTTGTTCTCAAAGAAGAATGATACGAGGCTACAGCTTCTAAAGAATGAGCTGTTATCAATTTCTGAGAGATTACTGTATTTGACCCAAAATCCGTCATTGGAGAAACTTGAATGAAGAGTATCATTATCCATGGATTGCGACCAGAATATAGAAGTTTTGTTATTACTGGCTAACAAGAGTTCTTAAGGGAAGAGATTTGAAGGTATTTGCTACAATTGCGAGAAGAAGGGCCACATGTCCAGGGATTGTTGGCTCAAGAAAAGTTTGGCGAAAACAATGTGGCAACCTTCAAAAAGGAGATGGAGGATGAATGGGATGCAGAGATACTATGTACCATAAAAGAAGACGAGCTAGCACTCATGGCAATGATGGGAGAGCATATCGATTATGAGAATGACTGGATCACTGATATAGGATGTTCAAACCACACGACTGACGATCAAAGTGTTGCAATGAAAGTAGGGTAGCCCTCAAAGAGGGAAGTATTACTAGACTTCAACAATATTAAAAAAATTCTAGCACAGAAGACGGGGGAGCAAACTGTATACATTTGGCTAAGTGTTGATGTGCCTAAAGATCCAAGTGACACTAATGTTAGTGAGCAAGAAGTGACTCAATCAAGTGAACTTGGTGAAAAGAAAATGACACCTCAACAACTTAGACGGTAAAAAAGAATCCAAAAACCAAATCCAAAGTATGTCAATACAACTATTATAGAAGATGAAGTAAAAGAGGTAGAGACGTATGAAGAAGCATTACAAAATACGGCTTGATAGCAGGCAATGGAGGAAGAAATTATAGCATTGGAGCAAAATCAAACTTGGAAACTAGTGTCAAGACTAGGAGATGTCAAACCCATCTCTTGCAAGTGAGTTTACAAAATAAAGCTTGTTCCATATGGATTAATTGTGAGATACAAGACTCGACTCATAGCTCGAGCGCTCTCTCAACAATATGGACTAGACTATGATAAAATGTTTAGTCTAGTGGCGAAGATCACTATCATACATGTCTCACCAGCATTTGTAGTAAGTAAAGATTGAAAACTATGACATATGGATATGAAGAATGCTTTCTTACATGAAGAGTTTGAATGGGAGATCTACATGAGCCAATCCAAGGAATTTAAGAATGTAGTTGGAGTCATGAGTCAGTACATGTAAAGTCCGAAGAAACCTCATTTGGATGCAGGTTAATGGATCTTGAAATATGTCAAAGGTACAATTAATTATGGTTTTTTTTGTACAAAGAAGCGAATACTGCAAGCTAGCTAGATATTGTGATGCTAACTATGCAGGATATCACAACATCCGAGGATCAAGCACCAGGTATGTGTGTTCAAAAATAATTTCTTAGTTTAGCAAAAGGCAATCAATAGTATCATTATCAACTACAGAAGTAAAGTAGAGAGTAGCGATTGAAGCAACTCAAGAAATTATGTGATTGAAACTCTTAATGGAGAATTTGCTCTAGAAAGTTGAGCATACAGTACCTCTTCATTGCGACAACCAATATGTAGCTTGTCTAGTAGAAAATTTAATGTTTCATGCTAGAACAAAGCACGAGGAGATGCACCGTCATTTTATTAGAGACAATCTTGAATAAAGAATACAGATGACCAAGTGTTTACAAGAGGGCTAAATTCTAATAAATATGAGGGCTTCCATTGTCAACTCAACATGATGAGCAGAATGAAGACCAGTGGTGATATGGAGTGTTAAAATATCGATGATGGCCCAATAAGATCAAACCCAATAATTGTGTGAGACGATGTATATATATTTTAGGAAAATAATTCTTTATGTCAAATATCCTTTCCTAGAATTTTACGTAGACTTATTTATTTTATTTTTGTAATTCCAAATGTCACAAGTAGAACTTTACATTCTGGAGTAGATTTACTACACTGGAGTAGATTAGTGTTAATACAGAGGGTTAGTGTTTTACCCAAACAATTATGTTCATGCCTTCTCAATTAGGCTTCTCAATTCGGCTTCTCATATATAGTAGTCGGTTATTAGAAGCGTGTTCAAACAGAAACCTTCGTCAATAAGAAACACGCATAAAAGCAAACCCAGGGCCACGCGCTTCATCTTTTTCTCACTGCCTTCCACTCTGAATCACAACATACATAATAAACCCATTACCCCTTCAAACCTCCCAAAACCTTCAACCCTATTTGGCCATGGGAAGAACACTCGACGCTCTTCTTGGAAGAAATTTCAGAGCCTCCAAATTCCGCCCTCTTCTCAACCTCGCCCTCTCTCGTCTTGCCATTCTTACCAACCAACGCCGACTGAGGCGCTCCCAAGCTCAATCCGATGTTCTCCAACTCCTCCAACTCCACCACCAACAACGCGCCCTTCTTCGAGTTCGTTTCTCTCTTTCCCTCCCCTTTTCATGTTTTGTTTCACTCATTTTTTTTTTTTAATTTTTGTTGATTTCTTCTTTCTTGTTTTGATAGGTTGAGCAAGTGATCAAGGACCAGAATGCCTTGGATGCGTACGTTTTGATTGAAGGGTACCTCAATCTCTTGATCGAAAGGACCTCCCTCCTCGAACAACAAAGGTTTTCTTATTCTCCCTTAAAACATTCCTTGTTTTGTTTTGGATGAACGATTTTAGTGGATTTGATTTGATTTCATTTGTTATCGTTGAATGCAGAGACTGCCCTGAGGAATTGAAAGAGGCGATTGCAGGGTTGCTATTTGCTGCTTCCAGATGTGGGGATTTCCCTGAACTTCATGAGATTAAATCCGTTTTGACCTCTCGTTTTGGAAAGGAATTCACTGCTCGTGCAGTTGAATTACGCAACAACTGTGGAGTCAATCATTTGGTGAGTTTGTATTCGATTGTTCATTTTATATGCTCTGTTTCCTTATTCATCTTCTGCTCTGTTTTCTGTAGTTAATGCAGAAACTTTCCACGAGGCACCCAAATTTGGAGAGTAGAATGGATTTGCTCAAAACCATTGCTTCCGAGAATGGAATTACTCTGCAACTCGATGAAACTCCTCTTTCCAATGAGGTATTATTCAACTTAACCCTTATTATTATTATTATTTAAATGAAAATTGTAATTTTGTTTCTAATCATCACGTGAAAAGCAGGCCAGAAACTCGAGACAAAACCAATCGGAGCCACATGGCGGAGTGGGAGAGAATCTGAAATTCTCCACTGAAGTCCCATCTGGATCGAAACAAAAGTACAAAGATGTGGCGGATGCAGCACAGGCCGCTTTTGAATCGGCAGCTCAAGCAGCAGCTGCGGCCAGAGCTGCCATGGAGCTCTCCCGCTCTGAATCACAAGACCCTGATGGTCCAAGCAGCCCGGGCCCTGGGTCTGCAACAACTTCATATCACAAACAAGAGCAAAAGAAATCCGAGGTCGAAGCCAAACCCAAATCGGAAATCGAATATGAATATGGAAAAGAAGAAGAAGGCAGCAAAATCAGAGCAGAAGCAGAAGTAAAGAATTCAATGTGTGGTTGTTCTTCGAACAGAGAGTTGTTTGTTAAAGAAAACAGAGAGATGGATGAACAGAGAGCTACAAATATTGAAATTGGGGAGGAGATGGAAGCGAATTTAGAGAAGACAGAGATAACTGAGAAACCAAGCTTTCGTTTAAATCTGGAGAAGAAGCCAATTTCAGTGAGAACAAGAAGAGTGCGTGGATACTGAGAGAGAGTTTTGTGTCCCATAGTTTTGTTTTCGTTTGGATAGATCAGAAGAAGTGTGTAATTATGTGGTTTAATTTTGGAATATTGGCGGTATGGAAATTCAACATTTTTGTTTGTTTTCTTTTGTATATTCGCAGGATTACTTATTTTCTTTCTTTTGATTTTTGACATCCCAATTATTAAATTAAGTAAACTGTATTATTAAATTACGTTCACCTAGGCTAGCTCCGGTAGTAGCTTATGACTTATCTAGTCACGTCTCCTCTCGTAGTCATATTTCATCACTGACCCTTTTCGTGCACGTGAACCTCTTAGGTTCCTATACATGATCCTAAGGAACTCTAAGACATATCATGTCTTCTACTAGCCTTACCCGCTTACAAGTCACCATTTCACTATCCCTTTGGCAGTTTTCGGAATCACGTTGTCTAGAAGCTCTACCTCTGTTCGAGCATGCCGATAACCTATACGATAGTAGGTAGGTTCCTACTAACATGCCTCTTGATTTCCTCTCCCTTTGTCTAATGTTCTCAACCCCAAGGTTCATTGGACTACCTAGATAGATCCACATCCTTCACTTGTGAGCATGCTTGTCCTAACCAAAGGATAGCTTAGAATGCGGTATATATGATTTTGATAACTACGTGCCGTTACTCACTTGTCATCTAGTCATCTATTGGGTGATCCATTAATAGATATCTCATTAGTAGCATATGATCCATTAATAGATATCTCATTAGTAGCATAAAACACACATCATGCTTTTGGAAGTCTATAACTTGAATTTAGCTCGTGAAGACGGCAACCAAACCTTGAAACCATGACCTCCATAGCTTCACTCTCAAGGTTGGTGAATCTTATCTCTCAACTTCCCAACTTAACCAAAACTCACTTGAGGTAATTGTTTGCTTGAGAGGTGTTTAACTCTTATAGTGGTCTCCTTTGTCTGTATGAACAATATTGTTTGAGTCTACTATGTGGTCTACACCAAGGCATGCTCTATACAAACTAGGCCTACTACGTGGTCTCCACGGAGGCATGCTTGACATCTAGAATTATGGTCACGAGAGACTGGTCATACATATATCATCTCGTGCAGGGCCTTAAGAAGTCTCATGTAAATCTCTATGGGTTGGACGTCTTGCACTCTGCGGCGTCACCTCTCTGTCTTCCTAAAGCCCGTAAGCTATAACATGACCCCTCTCGGCCTCCTCACAATAACTCGAATCTAGCATCGACATATAGAGTGAACATTCACTATTTAATGCCCTAAGGCATAATTATAGCTATCACGTAACTCAAGTTCTTACCGAATTTACATCATATCATAAACTACTAAACAGGGTTAGATAACATACCTGGTCACGACGAGGTGTGTTGTCGAGCTGAGTCACAGAGGTGTACGATTCTCTATCCTAGAAAAAAGTCTAGAATTTAAAACCTAACTGCTCTAATACCAATCTGTCACGACTCGATTTTCGAGACTTCAAAACTCGAATCGTGACTAAAAAGACGAATGCAAAAACAATTAAAAAGAAATTAAAAGAAAGGTAGAATAAAAAATAAAAATCCAATAAAATTAAAACAAAAGAAAAAGAAGTTTTATTTCAAACATTACAAAGGGGATACGAATATAAAAGGAAATACAAAGACTCCAAAACGATTGAAAACGGACTGACGTACCAAAACAACCTCCTTTGTGACCGCACAGCTCTCGAACGCTCCTCCACCTCAACTGGTAGCCTATGGACACCTGAAAAGAAGGGAATACAGGGATAAGTAAATAAATTACACTCAGTAAGCCACCTACTTGTAGGCTTTCATCACATTCTAGGCTTAATATATTCCCACGGGCTTCTTATTGGCTCTAGAACGTCTGGTTCTAGTCTTATCCCCTTGGGGTTATTTTGGTTCTCCGTTCTTTCATTTAAACCCTAAGAGTTTCTTATGCCGAGCTATGAATGACCGATGACCTACGAGGAGCTACCTCATGCATGACTTATAGTATCTTACCTAGGGGGTAAGCTGCAACCACCTAGGTCCATAGCCCCCCTCATCGAGAAGGAGCTACCCCTCCCTTATTTCATCTAACTAAATGGTCTGTACGACGTGTGCTCACGTTTCTCATGCGAAACGATTAGAAGCAGTGAATTTTGATCAGGAACCCTTGGTCCCCCACGAAGCTATGACACCTTTCACACAACTTGCAGCCTATGGGTACTCCTAATGTGATTCGTATGTCGTGGTGGTCTGTTAAGCTCTAATGGAAAGGTTAGGTCTATACTTACTGACTTGTCACTCTAACCACAAATCTCTACTTATCATAACAGTGAGTCATAAAAATTAACGAGTGTGCAAACAACTATCATCTAGCATCATCATACATAATTCATGCAAAGTGAACATATATTCTCAACGGGGCGATAACATCCATCAAGCTCCCAGAGCGCAGAGTATACAAATTCTCATCCTTCTTTTAGCATGAATTAAACATATACGTATATAGCGGAAGCTTAAAGCATAATTGCAACACTCGATAATTCTCATAATGCTTCACATATTACACTCATACTCATAATAATCAAATTACTTAAATTCATTCATCACCTAAGGTAAACTCACTAGCATGCATTCATTCCAAACGAATCCTATGAGTATTTCTTCCTAAATACATGATTAACGTGTGCCCTTCGTTTAATGTTTCTACACAAATAGGGTGTCCAAAACTACTAATTTTCTTCGATTAGATCCCTATTCACATAAAAATACGGTTAGAATTGGAGTTATATGAAAATCGGGCAAACTGAAGTCGAACGGGCCAAAAATAGAACCTTCCGCACTCCACAAGCACTCCCACGCGCCCAGGGAAGCCCAACTTGCGGCTGTCACGGGCGGAGCGTTGTAATAGCCCAAAAATAAATAAAGAAATAAACAAATAAAAATAATTATAAAAATAGTTAAAATAATAATAATTATAATAAATAAATAAATTAATTAATTAAAAAGAGAAAAAACATCTTTTCCCACTTCTCTCCACTAACCTCTCATCCCTTTCCACAATTATCTCTCCTCAACTCATCCTTACCCAGAAAAAAAAATGTCAGATTTAAAAAAAAAAATGTCAGATTTACTTAAGGAAAAAAAAAAAAATGAGAACAACCTTTATCTAGTTGAGATCCACAGATGAAGATAGATCTAATCAATAAGGTATATATTAAATCTTCATTTTTTTATCCTATTTTTTTAAAAATCACAACTTAGATTTTCATTGAATTATTACAATGATCTAAGTTTGAGTTAGAAACTAAATGTCAATCATTTATATTATTCTAGTCAATCACTTCGACCAATAATATTAGATTAAATTTTTATCAGTATCAAAATGAATAGACTAATGATAGAATGGCCAAGAAAACTTTTGTATAATAAACAGTGAGATAAAAAAAATTAGGGAATTAAAAACCACACACTAAATATAGAGGAAAAGGTAAACACAAACAAAAACTTCTGTATACGAAACACTGAGATAAAAAAAAATTAGGGAATTAAAAACCACACACTAAATATAGAGGGAAAGGTAAACAGAGACAGTAAATACAGAGAGTAGTAAAGCAGGGAGTAACCATGAAAAATAAGATTTGTAATAAAAATATAATTATAGATATATAACATTTCATACTTTTAACAATGGACAAATGTAGATTAGAGAAATAATGTTGTAGAGTTCAAACCTGAAACTAATGTCATGGGCACATATAGGTTGACTCGGATTTCAAGGGACAGAATCGAACTTTAGTTAAAGATATATTCGTGACAACGACTTAAGCTAGCCAGGTAAGTGACCTTACTATCGGCATGGTTATATTTTGATGTTGACACGTACCTTGTGGTTCTGCACGTGTCATATATATTGATATGTGTGAATTGTTTGTAGATCGATATGCTTCTTATATGTTATGTATATGTTATAATATGTGAATTGTATGATAATAGTTACTGTATGATGTATTCAAGGATATGTTTGAGATAGGATACAAGAAGGATGCACAAGACGAAATGTAATAATAGGAGTAAAATACGTTCACAAAACATTAAGGTTAGGTTATATACCGGAGTGATATGGATAAGAGAGATTGATGGAAGAATACGGTTAGGTTACAGGTAGAAAGGGATAGGTTTGTGATAGATTGATAGAACGATAGCGATAGGTTAAGTTCTTGTGATGATATGACTAAGGTACGTTCACGTAATGATATGTCTATGATAGGTATAAGAACGTTAAGGCTATGATAAGTTAGAGAATGATATGACTATGAAGTGTTTACGTTATTACTTGTTTATGATATGATACATTGTGATGTAATATGTCATAGTATGATGTGTATATGATGAAATGTTATGTTAAAAGCAACGTTATGTTAGGTCTCTTAAATTGTGTGTATACAGCATGATATAAATGACATAAAATTACGATAAATGACATGAAATATAACCCCGTTAGAATTATGTATGATTTGAGAACGGAAGAATGAGAAACGATATGATATGAAAAATGTTATGATATGTACTTAATGCTAGCGGGGTTGTATTAAAGAATAATGAAATTGTAGTAGTGGGGACCTAATGCATTAGGTGTGTTCATGCATCTGGGGGATACCCCTATCCCATCACAAAGGTACGGACGCGTACATCCAATGGCAGGACAACGATCGTTATGCTTTGCATAGCGCTGCCGTGATGGTTACTAGTTTTAACGGGTCCCGGCATAAGAGGCTCCCAGAGTATGCCCACCGGATAAGGAAAGTGGCCCAACGATGTGCGAACTAGCTGGTGAGCCCATACTCGCACGTTTGGGCTGTGTATAGAGTATATGGTACACGTCCAAAATTACCCGTTAGGACAGTACCGTAAGGAATACGAAACAAAACGAAACGAAAGATAGGTCCCATCATTTCATTGCATGTGATTGTTGCATTTAACCACAATAGTAGAGTCACTTACTAAGTATTTCTTTAAATACTCAAGCCATGAGCTACTACATTTTTCAGGTTAAGGCAAGACATTCCTGTACGACTGACGACGGCATCGCAACTCGAGACCATGACACATGCATAAGGTAGTGGTATTT